ATTACTACCTTTAAAAATATTAAAGTTGATTCAAAACACATGAATAATTTAAAATACATGTTTTTAGAATTTTACAATATAATTGTTATTAAGTTTGTAAGCTTGTGTTTGATTATAACATTGTTTTTATATTTAAATAGTATATTCAACCATAGAAATTATTTTAATGTGAGCATTTAAGAAATAATTTGGAAATAAATTGGGGGTAAATTATCTTAATCTTTTCTTCATTGTTCTCCACATTTGATAGAAAAGACCAAATTAAAGGAAATCTGAATAGTTACCTTAAATCACCACAGAATATAGAATTTAGATCTGTGTGTCTAGCATTAAAATATGATGTGACTTTAGGATATGATTGTTGACTCAACTCCATACTGTTAATTTCCAGCTTAGCAATGCCTGTCACCTAGAAGCAAATTAACAGACTGTCCTATGATAACACTTATTTCAAACCCAGTAATTTGTTTATTTAACATATTTCTGCTACTTTAATTAGTGACTCATGGTGTGTCAAAAGAGCTTTACTGAATCTGGAAGTGAATAACTATATTTAAATCTATTCTTCATAAAATCATTTATTAAAATATTTCCTTTATGTAGGATGAACTGCAAATTGTACATATAAATAAATATGCAAGATGGTTAAAAGGAAGGGGCATCAATGTAAACACAATATATGATGATGAAAATATAATGGGTAGATGTAATTTGTTTAGGTACTGTTATATAGAAGTGTATATAGTATATGTAATAGAAATATAGATAAAATTATATGAATGCTAGGTACTGTTCTAGAAATTGGAATAACCAAAAATAAAATAAACATGATAAACAAATTGCAGATTATATTAGACAGTGATCAGTGTTATCCCAAAAAAATTAGAGAAAGGGAGGCAGAAGAAAGAAGAGGAAGGTCCATCAGGAGTCAGTTGTCTGGGAAAGACTCAGTGCTAAACAGAGAAGGCATCACTGAAAAGGTGAATTGTTCAAAGACAAAGAAAGTAAATGAGGAGGCCAAACTGGCTGATCATGCAGAATTTATACTATAATAATTATAATACAAATTGTTTGTCATCATTTCATATAGCACAACTTGCAAATACAAAATCAAGATCTTTTTTTTTTCAACAAAATAAACTTATGATAAAAAATGTCATAAGATTTTGGTGCTTCTATGTATTGTAGTATTTAGGGAGTAATATGATCATATCCAATAGAAGAAAATATTAAATTTCAAATGTGAATTACTTGATGAATATCATCAACATATTCATTGGAAAGGAATCCAAGCAAAAATATGGAGTTATTAAATAATCAATAGTAGTATTTTTTTTGACAGGCAGAGTGGACAGTGAGAGAGAGAGACAGAGAGAAAGGTCTTCCTTTTTGCCGTTGGTTCACCCTCCAATGGCTGCTGCGGCTGGCGTGCAGCATCCGGCACACCGCGCTGATCCAAAGCCAGGAGGCAGGTGCTTCTCCTGGTCTCCCATGCAGGTGCAGGGCCCAAGCACTTGGGCCATCCTCCACTGCCTTCCCGGGCCACAGCAGAGAGCTGGCCTGGAAGAGGGGCAACCGGGACAGAATCCCGTGTGCTGGTGCCGCAGGCGGAGGATTAGCCTATTGAGACGCGGCACTGGCCAACAGTAGTATTTAAGGAGCTTTTAAATCTAAGAAGTCTAATAATGTATGCTAACAATACTTCTAAAATATTTTAATGTTGATGTGCTCTATTTCTTGGTATTTTAAATTTGTGTTTCACAGTTGCTATCCCTCTGATAATGAACTGAGGTCTCAGCAGATACTCTCATTGGGTTGGCAATATTTGACTGACTTACTTACTTAAATAAGATTCTTATGTATTGTGTACTGAGTGCCAAACACTTTACTTGTCACTGAGGATAAAAATTCTATAGGAAAGTAAACTTCGACAAACTCAGGGGTTAGTGGGGCAGGCAAACATGGAAAAGTAAATACAATGTAATATAGTAAGTACAATAATAATACCTAATTGTTGCTGGGCAGGAGTAATGGGGACCATGTTAATCCCTTTATACCTATATCTCTGTCTTCATTCTAATTACATCAGTACTAATTCTAACACCATCTTTAAAATACTAAAATAAAATGCAGAGCGGTCATATAATTTGCCCATATCACATGGATGAATTTGGGATTTGAGCCCAGACCTTCGGGTTCCATAGACCGCTATGTGAAGCTTGTCTTCTTGCTTATTCAGAAGCAGGAGTGATAGAATCACAGCTTGGGGAAGTGTCCAGGAAGATTTAGAGTGAGCGTTTGCTGTGTGGAGATAGGCAAGGCTTTCACCATGGAGAAATGCCTTCTGCGAAGGTAATGAGGCTCCCAGAAGCATGCACTGCAAGGAAACAGGAATTGCCAAATAGTGTTTCTGTCTGCAGATTGTGGACACCTGGTAAGAAACACCAGCAAAGGTAGGCATGGGGTCAGCTTTTGAGAGGACTTCTGTCCACTGCCAAGGGTTTAATTCTTGAGTAGCAGATGACCAGTAAGTTGTTAATGTTTTGACTCAACACTGATTTTATAGACATTGATTTATGTTTTCAACGCATCACTTTTAGAGAACAAGGGGGATTCTTTGGAAGGAAAAGATGAGATCTGAGTAACCTGATACAACTGTGTAGTAACTTAGAGACAAGTTTCTGAACAAGGTTGGAACAGAGAGTGGGGGAATCATGAGCAATATTTAAGAAACAGAAATGTGGAATTGTTAAGAATTAAAAGTGGGAATAGGAGAGAAAGGAGGAAGAAGAGTAGGATCATGGGCAGGAGGGAAGGTAAGGTGGGAAGAATCACTGAGTTCCTACATCTGTATGTATGAAATGCATGACATTTTTATACCTTAAATAAAATTAAAAAAAAGAAATTCCATTAGGTTGTAAAATTATGGAATTATACATGGGAAGTGAGATACACAGCAGACCCATAGAATGGCAAATGTCCTAACAGCACTCTGGCCTCATAATCAGCCCTTAAGGCATGCGGATCCGGCTGAAATGCCCATGAGAGTATTTCAGGCATGGAAAGCCAAGACACTCGGGGGCGGGGGGGGAACCTAAATGAAAGATCTCCATGAGTGAGATCCCAGTGGAAAGAATGGGTCATCAAAGAAGGAGGTACCTTTCTCTGAAGGGAGGAGAGAACTTCCACTTTGACCATGGCCTTGTCTAAATATGATCAGAGTCGGTGAACTCAGGGGGCTTCCATAGCCTTGGCAGCTCATGACAAGAGCCTAGGGTGATTACTGATGCCATAGACAAGAGTGTCAATTTGTTAAGTCAACAACAGGAGTCACTGTGCACTTACTCCTCATGTAGGAACTTTGTCCTTAGTGTGCTGCACATCGAGATTTAATGCTATAACTAGTACTCAAACAGTATTTTTCACTTTATGTTTCTGTGTGGGAGCAAACTGTTGAAATCTTTACTTAATGTATGCTAAACTGATCTTCTGTTTATAAAGAGAATCGAAAATGAATCTTGATGTGAATGGAAGGGGTGAGGGAGTGGGAAAGGGGAGGGTTGCGGGTGGGAGGGACTGTTATGGGGGGGAAGTCATTGTAATCAATATTCTGTACTTTGGAAATTTATATTCATTAAATAAAAGTTAAAAAAATTATGGAATTATAAATATTATTTGTTTTCCTTAACAAAAATTGATGTTAATTTTAGTAATTATCATGCATGTGCTGTGATCTAGGAAATCTAATATATTAGTAAATTCCTTAAAAATAAAATAAGTTATACATTTTTTAAAAAGAAACAGAAATGCTAATACTTGATAACTTTCTTAGGTATGAGGAGTCCTAGTGAAGGGAAAGAAATATGGAAAATGCATCCCAAATTTCTGGCTGAGCACTAGATGTATGATGCTCTTGAATTGAGACAGGGAACAAAGAGAATGCTCTCAGTGGTGGTGGTGGTGGGAAAGTGAGCTACATTTCACTATGTAGAGCTTGGGATGTCTAAATGGGCATTTCCACAAAGGACTGAAAATACATACTGCAGCTCCATAGAGAATTCAGTTCTGGACCTGAGAGTCGTTTACCTCTAGGTGATATGCACAGGACATTATGAATATTTCATGGAGAAATGAGCCTGTAGCCCTAAAAAAAAAGACAGAATCTGAAAATATTAACGTCCAACAGGTAGGATCTTGAAGTGGTAGTCAAAAATGTAAAAGAAACAATGCTAAAATGGAAATACAAAACCATGAAATGAAATGCTGCACTGTCATATAAAACTTGTACTTTGAAATTCTGTAAAGAATTCTCTTTGGGATAAGTGAAATATACAGTCATGACTGTTATGGCTGCAATTTTGATGCACATCCCATAATATTATTTTGCTAAAGAATGCTCTGATATGATGCTGTCAACTTAAAGGATCTTAGAAGAGACCAATGAAACTTTTTGTTATACTTGCTGTAAATTTCATTTCCTTTTTACTTCCTTTTCCCCTCCCTTTCTCTCCTTTCTTCTCCATCTCCCTTCTCCCTCTCTCAACCATTCTTCTTGCTACTTCCCTTCCCTACATAAAATGCCCTGACTACTGAATTCTTAAATGTATTTCTGAGAACATCTTCTACATTAGGACCTTACTATGCTCATTGTATGAATTGACTCTATTGCTTACTTTTTCCCAAGCTGACAAATATGTTATTCACTTATCTCAAATTTGACTCTTGTTGAGTGAGTTTGGAAAAGCGTTAAAATTATTTACTGAAACAAAAAGACATTAGAAACAAAATATGCAAATTAATTTTTAGGATTTTCATTTTTGTTTTTTTTTTTTTTTAGCAAGTTGCAAACTTGATTCACTAAATGCTTACTGAATTGATTCAGTGATGGATTGAGTAAACAGCTTTCCCAGAACTTAGCTTTTCTCAACTACTGCAAATAACTGTAGGAATTTCTCATGCTTGACTGACTTTGATGGAGATCCGATCTTTGTCTTCTGCAGTGACAAGGACAGTGTGTGCGGAACAATGTGATGGCAGGTGCTACGGGCCCTACGTCAGTGACTGCTGTCATCGAGAATGTGCAGGGGGCTGCTCAGGACCTAAGGACACCGATTGCTTTGTAAGTCTCAGTATTCCCTTGCTCTCTCTTCCTTTGCTTTTTAGCTCAGACAGCAAGATCAGGTTTAGCCATTTTAGGTTAAGAAATGCACTGCACCCTACAAGAAAGCATTCCCTCACTGAGTTGGCTACTGATGAACGCATTGTTCTGTTCTACTAAATGAACTGTGTCTTTCTGATATAGTTTATATCACAGAAGAAATTTATTCTAGAGCACAAGAGAACATATCTATCCCAAAATAGTTATTACCTGTTTATGTTGTTACAATATTGAGTCCTGTGGGTGAAGTCATTTGCATTTTGTTTGCCAATATGAATTTCAAGGCTGTAACACAAATTTGTGATTTTTTTCCAGTTTATACTGTTTGCAAACTAATATTCAAAAGTTTTAAGATTTCTATTGCATATTTAAAGCAATTTACATGTTAATCTATGTGATTTTTGTTTTAGAAGAGGAAACTTTTGTTAAAATGGACATTAAGTTTGTTGCGGACTGCTTTAATTACATTTTAAGGTCATATCTTTGATATAATTGTTTATGTTCTTTGGAAAGTATATAAGTGATTCTCTGAGGTATCATTAGCTCAATTCCATACTCACCAAATCCTTGCTTCATTTTAAGCTAAAAATCACAAAAAAGTTTTATTGTTAAAAATATTTTCTTTCTTCTGCTTCTCACATCTCCAGCAAATAATCATAGTATAGTAAAGTTGAGCATTGTTTTTCAAATTGACAATTAATTTCATAATTAAGTTATATAAATTTAAGCTCTTAGGAGTTATAATTTCTGAATTTTGAAAAATTTCACAAGAAACTCACTGTGGATACCATTTTCTATAGTGAAACAAAAATATATGCTGCATAAGTTGATAAGGAGGCAGAGAAAATGAAGTCAAAATGCTAAAAGTTTTAAAATTATTCTCAATTGGTCTTGAACTGAGAACTTTTGTCTATCACCAGGATGGGCAGGATAGGAGGAAATTTGATTTTGACAGCAGTGAACACTGCAGGTGATACATTAGCAAGTCAAAACAAAAGCAGTGATAAACAACAATATCAAAAACTCTCACTTTAAAGTTTTGCAGTGAATTCTTTTCATGGTTCCATTATCATGACAAACAGAGTGCCAAGTGAGGCACAGAGTTCTATTTCATTACTTTTGTGGAATGGTCCAGTGATTCTTTTGGCATCTGGTACAGAATATTCAAGAATTCTAGACAGAGACCTGGATGTATGTTCCCTTGTTTTGTTTGCTGTCTGAAAGGTGAAGTGTTTGTCCTCCGGCTTACATTCCTTCATTTCCAAGCAATCTGTGTACAATGTTACATAAAGTATGTCAGTAAAGCAATTAGAAGGATACATGAAGTTTTATGACCATAAATTAAAACTTACTGAGGTTCCTAGATTGGTTTTTAATAGATTCTTTCTAGAAAGTGTCATCTTAGTGAGAAATGTATCATCAGTGAATCTCATTCTGATTATGCATCCAGTAGACCATCATCAGCGAATTGTCATGTTTGTGATAAAGTGCTTGCTAAACAACAATTGATGAAGCAAATGTTTTGAGGAAGCAGAATAAATTAATGCTTATTAATAACTGACAGTATGACAATTTGTGATGAAATATAAAACTTAGTTTGAATTCACATTAGCTTGCCTTCCTAAATTATTCCTATGGAGGCTTAATTTCTTAATTAACAGAATTAGCTCAACACTTTTGATAATAATACTTTTATGTATTAATACATATGTCCTCTTTTTCTATCAAATACCCAACTCTCCAGCGGTAGAATGGATTAGAGTTCTTCTCAAATGAATTTGAAAATATTACTAAAATGTGTTCTCAATATAAATATGTCAGCAGAAATAAAACTGTCTTATTTGAATGTCATGAATTTTGCAAAAGGGTGTGGCCTTATGAAAGATGTGAAACAAACCACAATATATTATTTAATTACAGGTTAACTATAACTAGTTTCTTTATTACATTTTGGTATTACATGTACTTTGTTTGTAATCAGTTGGTCAGTTGTCAGATTGTTTTCTTTAAGTCCAATTTAAGCGGCCACCACAATGTTTTCTCACATACAACAGTGATGATGATTATGTTTAATATGTCACCTAACGCACTGAATTCTCCAAACACTAACTCAGAAGAAAGCCAAGCATGTAGAATTAGAGATTTAGTTGTCAGTGCCAGACTGTAAGACTAAGCACAAGTCCTTTGAATAAATGTGAGTGTAAGGGTGGGAATATGATTATGCTCTTCAAACTGAATATATGAAATACGTGAAATTTACTCACTTTAAAAAGGAAAGTCAAAAATAGAGTATTATTGTGTTAAAAGTTAGAGAAACGTACGCTTAATTGATATTGAGTATAATAATTCAAAGAATAAAGAATCTATCAGATTAAAAATCATTTTTATTATTAATTATCTTAAAGCATTTAAGCCAATGTTCAGTTTCTAAATTAGTGAGTAAATATTAAGTAGTTTAAATATCAGTAACTAAAAGTGATAGATATTTACTGATATTAGACAAAAAACATTTTATGAAATTTTGTACAATGAAGTGGCCATAAAACTATTACATTTTACTATTTTTCTGAAATTGATATATACTAAGAATGCAACCTTTTCATGAAACTGTTACAGTGCTATTGCTTCATTAGCAAGTATTATGAAATTTATTTGTAAATGAAAGCAACATTTGCTGTGTTGCAGGCCTGCATGAATTTCAATGACAGTGGAGCATGTGTTACTCAGTGTCCCCAAACCTTTGTCTACAATCCAACCACTTTTCAGTTGGAGCACAACTTCAATGCGAAGTACACCTATGGCGCGTTCTGTGTCAAGAAATGCCCACGTAAGTCACACAATAAAAATAGCCAAGTCAGTTAGGTCATCTTTGAAAAATGATGGCATTTCATTCAAGTTAGTTTCACTTGGAAACTTCTACTAATGTTATGAATTTCTTTGGATATGATTTCTGAACTTGTATTTGACAAATAAGGCAATCAATACAAATAAATTTAAACGATCTAAAGTTTAACAGCTAGAGTGAAATGTTGTTCACTCCTAAACCCTAATTAATTTTACTATACCTCATTTTTTTAACTTATCTTAATATTTATCAGAAAAATAATTGCTTAAGTGGCAAGAAAATATGTAATGGATAGAGCCAACTTCTAGTAAGAATCAGTTTCTACCTAAAACTATTTCTCAGTATGCTTTTATACTAGAGTATACAGCAGTATAATTTTAATACCAAATGTAATCTTTTTTTAAGATTTATTTCTTTATTTGAAAGTCAGAGTTACACAGAGAGAGGAGAGGCAGAGAGAGAGAGAGAGAGAGAGATCTTCCATCCACTGGTTCACTCCCCAAGTGACCACAATGACTGGAGCTGCCCCGATCCTAAGCCAGGAGCCAGGAGCTTCTTCTGGGTCTCCCACATGGGTGTAGGGGCCCAAGTACTTGGGCCATCTTCCACTGCTTTCCCAGGCCACAGCGGAGAGCTGGATGGGAAGTGGAGCAGCTGTATCTCAAACCGGCGCCCATATGGGATGCCTCAAATAGAATCTTAAAACAGTAAACATGAAATGTATATTAAGAGAGCTTTAGCAAATCAATGACCTATCTTGAGGAATCATATTGAGCAGCATGACTTTAATCAACCATTTACTATACTATGTGAGGGTATTTCCAAGAATTTGTGTAAAAATGGAATTATAGATAATTTTCTTTGATGCAAAAAATTTGAAATCCATGCATAGTAATTTTTAATGAGTTTTCCATGAAATTTTTGAGAGCCGCATGTATATACTGAAATTTTGTAGTCAATTAATTTGCTTCGCATGACGAATGACACTTTCTTCCTATTGCAAAGCCTGAAAAATCCCTATTTTAATCCACATACACTCATTTTTAAATAAAGACTTAGAAACCTGCCTCATACAGATTACAGATGTGTTGGCCATTTTCACTTTGTGTGTGTGATACATTAGGGGCATGGAATTAAAGTGGTTATGCTTTATGGTTTTACCTTCTTGTGAATCACATGACTTTGAGGAAACCAGTTCTCTCTTTCTCTTTAGGATGTGAAAGTTAATAATCATATACCTCCTCACTTTTTCCATCATAAGAATCAAAAAGGACATAAGAATAAGAGTTGTGGGGGGGCAGCGCTGTGGTGCAGTGGATTAACGCCCTGGCCTGAAGCACCGGCAGCCCATATGGGTGCCGGTTCGAGACCCAGCTGCTCCACTCGCTATCCAGCTGTCTGCTGTGGCCTGGGAAAGCAGTAAAAGATGGCCCAAGTCTTTGGGCCCCTGCACCCGCATGGGAGACCCAAAAGAAGCTCCTGGCTCCTGGCTTCAGATTGGCACAGCTCTGGCCATTGCGGCCACTTGGGGAGTGAACCATTGGATGGAAGACCTCTCTCTCTCTCTGCCTCTCCTCTCTGTGTATCTCTGCCTTTCAAATAAATAAATAAATCTTTTAAAAAAAGAATGAGTGGTGGAATATTAAAAAATCTTTGAAAACACAAGTCTAATTATTGTTATTAAATATTTTGTATTGGTTGATAGAATAATTATGTTTGCAGATGGCCCTTAATTAGCATTTAAAGTAGCACACACAGTATCTTTAGCATGGTAGAAATTTCCATCTTAAATTCTTCAATATCCAAAATAATATCCTTCATCTAAAATCTTCTGATCTAATCATCTTACTATCCTTGCAAAATTTGGGGCTAGAAAGTAGTGAGTAGTGTATGATGGGACTCAATATTATACTTTTTCTTTTTGACAAATGTTTTCTTATTCTATTATTTTCAAAATCTGATGACTTCCCCACAGACTATCAAAACTGTGCTCTTTTGAGATTTTTTTTTTTTGGTGCTTTATCTTTTATTCCAGACCAGAGGTTAAAGACCAATATTTGAGATGGAATAGAAGAAATACCAGGAAAATCTGAACTGGGGAATTTTGTTTTCTAAAGCCTTTAGAATGGCTCACCTGAAGGCTGTCATTTGGATACTCTAGCAAGAGGCTAAGGAGAGAAAGTTTTTATGAAATAACAAGCCCAGTTTAGCTTATATATAGTAAATTCCAAAAGTTCTTTCTTAGATTAGTTTATGTAGTCAAAATACACACTAATTGAAAATACTTCAGTATTTGGCTTCTGTAAAATTCATATCATGTTGGTCCTAATTTACAAGCCTTGATTTGTTAATCTGGAGCTATTCTAGAAAAACAAATACATTTAGCTTCTCACCATGGGTCTATAATTTCTAATCCATAATTCTGACACTTTAAAAATGCCTAGCAACATACATTTTTTAAAAAGTCATTTGCCAGCAAAACTTGAGCCTAATTGCTGTAAGGCTATTTATAATTTCTGTTTATTCTACTTGGTATAAATTGCTACAGCAATGTGGAGGTATCTAATTATAAAATACTTTCAAGAGCTTGCAGAAAGTGCAGTTATGTACTTAATATATTAGTATATTCACCTGTTGCAGGTTGGAATCCCCTGAGACAGAGATTAAGTTATTAGGGAATATTTTCAGAGTCAACACTGGGGAAGAAAAGAAAGCAGCATTGGCTTTGATGCCATCTCAACGAAGTGCCTCTTTGGTGGTAGAAGCTTGCTGATACATGTTGCTGAGAATATTGAAATAGACACAATTTGCACCTTGTTCCTGTGGATCCATTTATATACTGTGCCTCAGAGTCTCTCATTTCCAGATTTTTCAGTATTTCTTCCTCCAGGGCAAGCCCCTGGCGTGAGTCCCAGGTAGTCTAAGGTCAGACTGCTTCTGTATCCAAACAAAGTGAGTTATCAGTTGCACTACACAGAACTGTGCCCTTGGTAGGACTTTCATACCCACTGTCTTTCAAGACCAGTCCTAAGTGAGGCTGTGGGGAAACTGCTGTCTCCATCAACTTGCACCCACACCAAGCCTAGTTTTCATTTTCCTCTTTCAGTTTATCAGAAGTGCCCCTGTCAGTCTGAATGTAGCCATAGTTATGAGCTGAGTGTGAAGCCCTAGCATAGTGGAGGATGGCATGGGGGTCAAAAATACCTGCTTCTGCAGTTTATTTGTGTTTCTTCTACTCATATCCCATCACAATTGCACTGCTTCAGCTTTGTGATTTTGCTGTTGGATCTATCAAAATTATATAATCCAGTACGAACAGATTTTTTTTTTTATGATGGTCAGTTGTGATCATTAGGTTAATCATTGACACATGGTTAGATGTTCCATCTCTATCAGGACCCAGAGCATGTCAGGAACTTTTCATAAATGGGAAACAATCCTGTACTACAGATAGCAATGCTTAGCTCTAGAAACCTGTGGGTCTCTGCTGTGATTTTCCAGTTGAGACTTGTCATAACTCCACACAGCATAGATACTTCCAATATAATACAGCATGTTGAGTCTTGTACCCCAAGTAGCAGAATTGGTTGTTAGAAAGTCTGGACCTGTGCCATTTCCTTAATGGGTTACCCCTCAAGGCTAGAAGTCTTCTATACCATTGCATATTGGGCCAAAGCAATATTCTCAGGCATGGAAGGAAGCTGCCTTCAAACTCACAGCAGCCTGGTGAATGTTGTGTTCTCCCTTTATTGTGGAAGGGGATTATATATTTATATGTGTATGGAGGGGATGTCCTGGAATATCCTAGGTCACTGGAATCCTAAAAATGTCACTAGAAGTCCCTTCTATTCATATAACTTTCCTGAAGTACTCTTTTCCCATTTAATTTTGTTTCTTTGTGGAAATAAATGAGACATTTCCATGGCACCCTACTGAAAGAATGCATTTAAAGCATTTCTTCCTGCATATAGTACACTCTCTCAATTCAACGCATTTTGACTTATGCTTCATTTGGGCTACATGAATTTGAAGTATTTTTAAGACTTCAAACATGCATCATGACATGAAATGACCTGGAACTATTGAAAAAACACAAACTAAATGCCATGTCATTTCCTAAGTCTATAAAAGAAATACAGTCTATCTTGGGGTCAACTCAGAGTGTGGAGCAGCAGCTATACAAGTATAGCTGTTCTTAAAAAACATTGCCCAGGGTTTTGAATGTAGTTAGTTGGATAGAATATTTCTTGTTGAGATGCCTAATCAAAGAGTTGTTTTAGAGGAAGAGACACATATACTGTCAAAGATGCTAATCATTTTCAAACCTTAGAATATTTTGTTTGAGGTTGATTTGCTGAGAGTGAACATTTATTTTACTTTTTTTTCTTAAAAAATCAGATAATTTTGTGGTAGATTCCAGTTCTTGTGTACGTGCCTGCCCTAGTTCCAAGATGGAAGTAGAAGAAAATGGAATTAAGATGTGCAAACCTTGTACTGACATTTGCCCAAAAGGTGAGTTACAACTAAAATTATTTCGGTTAAAACAGGGGTCTATACCTAGGTTTTCCTTTTTTAATAAGCTAATGAAATTACCTTCTCAGAATATACCTACTCACACAACCAAACATTTCCCCAAATACTTTACATGACTTTGGACAGTTCCCAAAATGTTAACTGTCATGATGTTATATCTTACTGGTTTGAGTTGTGTATTTATATACTATGATCAAAAAACAAACAAAAACATCAGAATGAACTCAGAAATGAAGTTTCATTTTATCCTATCTGTAGCACATTGTAGAAGTTTTGCAAAAATAAGAGTCCACATTGTTATTTTAGCACTACTACATGTATTAATTGCTTTCAAATATACAAAATGATCTCCTAAGCACAACAAGGGATGCATTTCAAAAATAATATAGGGAAATCACAAGGTTTCCATGAGCGCTAAATAATTGTTGCAGATAATTCATGCTGTAGTGTTTTAGTGGAGGAAGATGGACTTTTCAGCATGAATACTCAAATTCTTCACCAGAATGAAAATGAAATTAATAGGTACAAAAGAACAATCTGAATCTCCAAAAGGCAGTTAAACTTTTCAAAGTATCAAGGACTGCCTTGGAAAAGAGCAAACTTCAGACTTACTTTTAGGCTACATGGTCTCTCTCTTAATTAAGTAGAGCCTTTAGAAAGCATAGATAATAATCTATATCTATATATAAGTATAAATATTTATGTGATTACTGACTTTGGTTACAACTCAGAAATATATTGTTATTTTTAAATGAAAATGCAAATATTTTTTACCAAAAACAAGTTTCCCAGCCACCTGACAGTGAATCTTATTTTTGCAGCTTGTGATGGTATTGGCACAGGATCGTTGATGTCAGCCCAGACTGTGGATTCCAGTAACATTGACAAATTCATAAACTGCACCAAGATCAATGGGAATTTGATTTTCCTTGTCACTGGTATTCATGGGTCAGTATTACATTTTTGTACAAGACTGTTTTATAAAATATAAACACATCTCAAGAGATTATGTAGCTTTGTTGGTTTGATTCCTCATGACCCAGAAGAGTTTTATCTTTCATTAATGCTCTTTGCCTGGAAAAGCAAGGGCCAGATCAACAGCAGCAGTGGCAAACTGGAGCTTTGGGATGCTTCTACTTAGGTTTGAAAATATAAATTTGTATTTGAGCTAAAATATATTTGTAGGTCATTCTCTTCAAAGGCATAATTTTCAACAGTCTTGGCTTTATCTTACCTATGTATTGGGAAACAATATAAATGTGTGAGATGGCGAATTTCGTGCAAACACCTAATTTATTAGGTCAAGATAAATTAATGCAAGGTAAATTATTATTTTCACATGAAACAAATCAATAAGGTGAAATTCTCATGTGCTTCTTTCAGAAATATTCAGTCCTCAGACAGCCACTTTCTCTATTTTTCTAAGTTGGAATTTATTGCCACAGTAAGAGAAATGAATTTCCTTTTGGTAGTAAAAATTGTAACATTGTCTGGATGCCTTCATTACAGAAACACCTGCTGGTTTTAACTGGAAAAAACACCAAGTTTGTATTCTTTAAATTATAATAAAAATGTCAGTATTTTTACTTTATATTTTATCTGTTTGTATATGTTACTTCTCAATCCCTGAATATTAGCACTACAGGCAAGAAATAAAAAATGTCACTGACATATTTCAATTCAAAATCTTACCCTGAAAATACATCACACCATTTCTAGAAGCAAAATAATGTAACACATTATGAATAAATATGTCCAAATGGGAAAAGAAAGAGCAATAGAAAAATTTCTTTCCATTCAAATGAATTATTGCATGTGTTATGGCATAAAATATCTCCTTACTTTAAAATGTAGCTTTCAATGTGGTCCTGTATCAGGTACTGTATATACTGTGTCCAGAATTGTGTCCTGAGCAGTTTTTTTCTTAATTAAGACTAAAAATTTTAACTTCTCTTTAAAAAATATTTAGAATTAGTACTTTGCAGCCTATATTCTCATTGCTATAATCTGTCGGAGCTGGGTAGCATCAGCCATTTTGAGTTCTCCTTGTCCTCTGAATCCATTTACTTTGCTGTCTTAGCCTCCTTGGTGCATTGGGTAAACGACATGGATAGTATTTAAATGCCTCTTTGTAATTCAATTTATATATGACATTTAGTAAGGCAATACATCTACATTTTCACTTTTGAAAACTATATAGCACCGTAAGTGAAAGATCATATCATGTTAATAATGTCTTCTGAGAAATAAAATGCAGTAACATTGCCTACATCCATGTGTAAATAATAAATGAAATAATGTAAAGTCTATCATTGTGGAGAGAGATTTGAAATCATATTCTCATGAATTGTGTAAGAAAAGTGATTTTCGTACCTATCAGTCCTCAAATTTCTTTTTTATGTATTAAGCTTTTGATACTTTAACTATGAAGTAAAATTTATACATAATATATTCTACTTATATACATAATGCTTAAAATCATTGCAATTATGTAGATGCTTTTTAAAGAAGAAATACTAATATGTAATAAAATATGTATTGATAGGACAATATCCAGTCTCCATTAAAGTGTGGCTTTTTTAGAAATGACATGTAAATTATCTCTGTATAATAAGTACAGAGAACTACTGAGGCAAGGAACAGCTGACCAGTGGAATAGAAAATAAGTAACCTATGTATTGTTACATAACAAAAGAAAGGAAAATAACTTTTCTTGGAAATCAGGCCAACATGACTATGGAACTAAATACAAAGTATGACCAAGCATGAGGTTTGTACACACAAAATTCTAAATGTATAATAGGATCAGCTTAAGGTTCTACAAGAATTGATGCAGTTCTTTGTTCTAAGAGACATTGAACATCCTTGACCTTGGGTTATTAATAAAAGACTATACTATCCCCCAATTTTGACTGTAACTAAAATACCTCAACAAATGTTCCAGCTTTCCTTCAGTGAAGTAGTATTGCCCACATGGAGAAATACTGCAGGAATTTTGTGATAGGTGAATTGTGAGCCAACTAAAGGGATATAATTGTTAAAATTCTCACATATAAATCATGGCTAGAACTGTTTGAAAAACAGTTCATCTATTGAGATCCAGGATAGCTAGTTTAGTCTTTGGTCATCATCAAACTGTTTACTAAAAATCTGGATTTATGCAATTTATAAATTATTTACATATTTTCATTTATGACCTAGAGTCAAAGAGAACTGAATAAGTAAGTACAAAAATATTTAAATAGATATCTCAGTGGATTATAAAAGACACTGTGAAGTAGGGAATTCACATTCAGTAGTTTGCAAAAGTGTATTATAAAGCTTATTAACCCCAACTTCTAAGGAAAGTAATTCATGCTAATTAATCCAGGTGAAAAATGACTTACAGAAAATCAACTCATGTGGATTAAAAGTAAAAAAGCTTGCCTTAAAATAAAAAAAAAAACCTCTAGAATTAAGAATTAGACTTTCTACCTGAGTAACTTGATGCAGACTAGACTGTAATTTCATTTACAGCTATACCATGGACTAGACCTATTGAGTGGCAATCTTTTGATGTCAAACAAGTTTTTCCAATTAAAAATTGAGAAGTGATTTAATAATAGATACCTATTTCTTCTGACTATTGTGGCAAGTAAAAATAAAATTTTTAAGTAATTTATTTATTTATTAGAAAGTGAGAGAGAGGGAGTCATAGAAAGATCTTCCATCTGCTGGTTCACTCTCTAGATGGACCCAATGACTAGATCTGAGCCAGGCCAAAACCAGGAGCCAGGAGCCAAGAGCCAGGTCTTTCATGGGGTAGCAAGGGTCCAAGCACTTAGGCCATCTTCTGCTGCTTTTGGCAGGTCATTAGCAGGGATCTGGATAGGAACTGGAGCATCTGGACTTCGAACGAGCAACCATATTGGTTGCTGGCATCACAGGTGGTGGCTTTACCTGCTATACCACAATGCCAACCCCCTAAAATAAAATGTACTTTGAATTTATCAGTACAGTTTTTTTTTTTGGGGGGGGGGCAGGCAGATTTAGACAGTGAGAGAGAGAGAGACAGAGAGAAAGGTCTTCCTTTTCCGTTGGTTCACCCCCCAAATGGCCGCTATGACCACCGCGCTGTGCCGATCCGAAGCCAGGAGCCAGGTGCTTCCTCCTGGTCTCCCATGTGGGTGCAGGGCCCAAGCACTTGGGCCATCCTCCACTGCACTCCCGGGCCACAGCAGAGAGCTGGACTGGAAGAGGGGCAACCGGGATATAATCTGGCACCCCAACTGGGACTAGAACCCGGGGTCCAAGCGGAGGATTAGCCAAGTGAGCTGCAGTGTCAGCCATATCAGTACAGTTTTAAAACCTTAATGAGTGAAGAGGGGATGAAGGGAAAGAGAAAGGTGAGAAAATGAAAAGCATGAAAATTGATGCAAGAGAAGGCAGTAGAAAAGAGAATTATTGGTGACCATGTCTAGTTTATACTACAATTTTTATACAAATATTATTTTATAGACTTGATTATAGTCCTTTATAGTCTATTTTGGAACCCAAATAAAGCCAAAACTTTCTTTAAAATAAGCCATACTTCTTAGTTCAGATGACTATCGTTAATCATAGCATTTAAACCTGGAATATGTGAAGTTATAATTAATATTATTATTTCTTAATGTATGAGGCATTTTCCAGGATAAATAAATGTGAAAGCATGATCCATTTGCTCACTCTGAGTCTCTCGCCAACATGAAACATATATTCTGAATCCTTTCACTTTCGGCTGTGAAGTTAATTCAGTGGGCATCACATATATATGCATGTGTATATGCATGTGTATATGTATGTGTATATAATATCTATACAGTATATAGTTATGATATATATTTAAAATATAGGCATACTGGTGCATGTAAATTGTGAATGTGGAGAGAAAGAGAGGGATTTTTAAAAAGTGGATAATACAGGGCATCTTAAACAGAAAACTAATAAATTAAAGAAGTGTTTTACTTCACTTAATTCCTTAATTATCCTCCATATTTTACAAACTAGATTTTAATAGTAGTGCATGATTTTATTAAAGTAGCGGAGATATTTATTTAAACTCATAAAAGGGCAGAAATTATAATTAAATGAGAAGAGTTTCTTCAGGGAGTAATTTTATTGGCAAATTTTCATTTAAATTTTTAATATATGAGAGGGGTCAAGAAAGCTAATTTTCATGATCAGTTTGTAACATAGTAGTTCCATTGTCAGAAATAGGCATTTCTTTCCTTATTTAAAAAAGCATTCCCATGCAAAGCTTAGTGCCTCTGATTTTCTCTAGGAATATTCCCCTTTCACATTTTGTCATGCTTGACACTGTTCATAGGCATGTGTTTAGAATAACAAGCTGCTCGCTAAATAAGCATGTTCAGGCTGTATCACAAAGAGGCACTTGCAAGAAAGGGCAAACTTACCTGATAGATGGCAGTGATGATGGACAATGGAAGAGAGATAATAGGTTTGGTGATAAAATGTAATTTCAGTGGTATTGTGAAAATATGTTCCTCTCACTTTATCCTGAACTTTATTTTGGATCACCAAACACAATGACAAGGTGCACATAATGTTCTTTCACACAGCTCTGAATTTAGGTAGGAAAGTTCTTGATTGTAAAGTACTATGGATTTCACGTGACTGTACGATGAACTCCCAAGAGGTACTTGGAAGCTAGTAAGTGGAATTCTGTCAGCGTATTTTACGAGAGTCCTGAATCTCGAGAATTAAGAATATAAAATTTCTGTGGTCCACTGAACTTCATGTTAAAAGTTCAGAATTCATTTCATTCCTGGCAACCTGGAACCTTCTCAAGAAAGCTTTGGAATGACCTGATTATTGTCTGCTTGCCCTGAATTTTGAGTCTTCATCAATAAAGCCAGCGTATTTAATTCTATTCCTACAGCTGAACTATACATTGCTTTTCATCACAAGAATAAACACTGAAAGCTGTTAATTTTTGGCTATCATATTCATCAAAAGCATAGCTACTCATTCCATATTTCTTTACTTATAAATAGACTGATTTTTCCAGAACATTTAATTTATACTGGAAGCTTTTGAGAGAGATTCCTGTGGCATTGAGAAAAGTCTGATCAATATTTTATGTTTGAATTATAGGGAAATACATTTACACTCTTTCTCCAATCTCAGCAATATCCAGTGTTTGGTTTTTGGTAGCACTCCATGCTCCATGGTACACTAGTAGTACATTGTATTGATTGTATTTCGTAGCTTGAAACAGTAATTTAATCAAGTGAATGATTTTTAAAGATATGGGGTGGTTTACACTATAGAAGAATATGCTGATGAACCAACTTCAGAAATCCAATACAAGGTGGTTCCAGAGATCAAGGTTATAGGACCTGATAGTTATTTTCGAGGCTCGAATTCTGGGATGTCAAAATGCTGAAGTTCAGACTCAGATTCCCAGGAGACAGGCCATAAACCTATCTATTTGTCAGGATATTGTGGAATCCCTTGATTGATAATCCTATTATTAATAAATGTACCATAGTGATTATTCCCCATATAAAAAGAAGGTTCTTATAGATTGGTAAAAAAAGAAAAAAAACAGATGTCCACAGCAATAATAAAACTCATTTGATTGCTACAGACACGTACATCCTTCTAAGAAAAAACAAAAACAAAAACAAAAACAAAAAAAACCCTCAGCTCAATGTCCTTAAAGGATTTGATCAGTTATAGAGATATGAACAATGAGTAAGATTTATCTTCTGTAAAGGGAATATTTAATCTATACTCTCTACTTACCCAGGATATCACAGAATGTATTTTATGTAATAAAACTTGTTAAACATATTATGTATTTCTTACAAAAACAAATGGAAGTGCTCTTTGACCTGCTGGTTAAGATACTGGTTAGAAGATCTGCATCCCACATCAGAGTGCCCAAGGTTCACTCCTGGCTCCAGATTCCAAGTTCCTGCTACTGCAGGCACTGAGTGGCAGTACTCCTGGCTCAAGTCACTGGGTCCCTGGGACTAACATAGGGGACATGGATTGAGTTTCTAGCTCCCAGTTTTGGATCCCCAGAGAGAACCAGAACATGGGAGCTCTTTATCTTTCACTGTGTGTCTCTACATTTTAAATAAACTTATTGATTTTAAAAAGCTGAAAGTGTTGTTTGAATTACCATCAAAAGTTTTGTATAACATCCAAGTAAGCAAATACTTCCATGTTATAACTGAAAAGTGTTTTCGGAGGATTAAAATGAAAAATATCATTAAATATTTAATTTTAAAAGGTACTTTATATTCGTATCTATATGTATATTTATATCTAAATATCATTAATATTTATGGGTTAAGAGATAATATTTTAAAATCTAAAAAACTACACCTTTTGAGTATTGTGGAATTTGTTGCAAGCTTTGTTTTCAAATGTTAATATAATTCCTACAGATGGTTGCAAATAGTTCCTGTGTTACAAAGGTAAATAGAAATGAGCTAAAGATAGGACCAAGACTATTCCAAATAATCACTATGAAGAATACCTTTAATACAATGTTACATGAATGTTATGAAAATTCACAAACAGATCAAGGCGGCGCTGAGACAAAAAAAGAGCTAACTTTACCTGTATTTGTTTCAGTACTTTTTATGATCTGCAAATATAATTTAGACTGCCTTCAGGATCCTAAATTGAATTCTCAGCATAGTTTACTTTCAGAATATGTACTTGCCAGTATATAAACTTTCAAAAGCAAAATAAATATAAGTGGTTCATCTACAGACCTGCTATCTTTGGGAGTTTCTTCAGGATAGGTGAAACCAAATTATTACTGTAATCTTCTAAGAACATTTGATGAAGACATCCTGTTCTGTGTGATCAAAAGTCTCTTAAAAATACCTCTCAATCTTCTTCTACCTCTAGCATAGAACAACATATTTTTAACTTTCTGTTTGTACTTAAAATTCAATTTGAATGAAATAATTATTGTATCATTTCCCACATTTTCACTCTTCATCAAATTTTAAATTTGGCTAAATTTCTGTTTGATTTCCTGTAGGGATCCATACAATGCAATTGAAGCTATAGACCCAGAGAAACTGAATGTCTTTCGGACAGTCAGAGAGATAACAGGTAATTTTTAAAAGTCCAGTTGTTATACTATGAGCTAGGTAAATTTTTGTGTTTTCTTAAACAACATTATATAATATTGTAATCAACAACTCATTTCAAAGCAAATTCTAGTTTGTAAAACCTCATGTAATTTTGAACAATGGGTGTCCTATACCTTAGCTTTGTTGCATATTTTGAAAGCCAGTGGAATTACAAACACAAATATCCTTATAATTTTAATGTTACTGTTTAATTTCACATTTTTGTAGATGTCAGCTGACCTTTGAATCCATGTTTTTGTTTTCGTATTTATTTATATATTTCAAAGGCTATGTTAAAGAGAAAGAGGGAGAACGTGAGAGAGAGAGAGGTTGTCTTCCAACTGTTAGTTCACTCCCCAGATGGCCACATCTTGGCTGGGCTAAAAGGAAATCAGGAGCTTAAGACTCCATCTGGGTCTCTAATGTGGGTGGCCATGGCCCAAGCCCTCAGGCCATCTTCCACTGCCTTCCAAGGCCCATTAGCAGGAATCTGAATTGGAAGTGGAGTAGCCAACTTGAACCAGTGTTCATGAGATGCCAGTTAGGTAGGTGGCAGTTTAACCTGATGTGCCACATCACCAGCCCCACTGAATCCATGTTTTTATGTTTACTTTTTCACGAGCAGTATGACTAACATGGAACATTCATTTAGTACATACTTGTGTCTTGAAGGCTGTCACAGCAGTTGACTGAGTCTATAGATTTGAGTCATGGATTTACCATCGAAGAATAGAAAATCCAATCAGTAAGTTTAGCTGTGTACATAAATGGTGTAGAAGGCAAGGTAGACACTTATAAGTATGCAGGTAAATTGAATTTCAGGTAAACTGAAGCTATATTTTTTTCTTTAACTAGTTAGACTACACTTATTATAATTATATAAATAAAAGAGGGGGCAGGAATTTGGACTAGAAGTTAAGATTCTGGTTGCGTTGCCCACATCCCATGTTGAAGTGTTGGAGTTTCAATCCCAGCTCTGTTCCTGATTCCAGTTTCCTTCTAACATGTACCCTGGTGAGCAGCAGTTAATCACTCAAGTATTTGGAGTGCTGCCTCCACTGGGAGGCCTGGATTGAGTTGCTGGTTCCTGGCTTTGGCCTGATCTAGCCCCAGCCATCTCTCTCTCTCAAATACATTTTTTAAAATAAATTTTAGAATATTCTAAAATTTAAAATGTGAGTGAAATGGAATCATTTAATTCTATAACATATATAGTTTTACTCTTCCATGCATATAAGAAATACATATATTGCTCATTATTTTTGTTAAGATTTTTTTATTTGAAAGTCAGAGTTACAGAGCAATGGTTGGGGCTGGGCCAGGCTGGAGCCAGGAGCCAGAAGCTTCCTCCAGGTCTCTCACATGGGTGACAGTGACCCAATACCTGGATCATCTTCTGTTGCTTTTCCCTGGCCATTAGCAAGCAGATAGGTCAGAAGTGGAGCAGCTGGGACAGGATTGGTACCCATTTAGGATGCCAGTATCTCGGGCAGTAACTTAATCTGCTATGCTCCAATAGTGGCCCCATGCTCATTATTTTTACATTAATTATTTATTGAATATTATGGCCCCCAAACCATCACACTTAATCCTGGAAGAATAAAATGTGATGGGATGCTTCAAAAGTAAATATGTTCATTGCTCTTTTCTTAACCGCCCACATTCAGCACATTTTCATCATATTTCAAGGATAATCACTACTATTACTAATATTAACAATGATGTTCTGATGTAGTCTTACTGTCCTAATCACTTGTAGGTTTTTTGAACATACAATCATGGCCCCCAAACATGACTGACTTCAGTGTTTTTTCCAACCTGGTCACCATTGGTGGGAGAGTACTCTATAGGTAAGTATATATGTTAAAAGCTGCAAATTTCCTATATTATCTGAGTACAGTAAGTCAAAATCTTAAATCTTACTGATTTACAGATTCTGAGAATATATGTTTCTATTGTTAGTTACAAAGATAAATCAATGAAGATACCTCTAATGATGATGTGTAATACATAGTTTTTTTCTATCTTTCAACTGCCTATCACTTAACATAATAATAGTGTTTTGCAAGTATAGAATGCATTATGTGAACTATAAAACTGAACTTTCCTTTTGCTCATATGTTATCATAACTAAATGATATAATTGAGTGACTTGCTAATGGTTTAGGTGTATATGGTATAATCTTGTACCAGGAGCCTCTGTTTTCCCTTCTGGGGCTATAGTTTAACCACACTTCACAGGGCTGATGTTTCAGACACTGGTCCACCGTTGTTTATGCGGCACTGGTTAATAAATGGACAAAAATTAGAGCTTATAAAAACACTTTCTAAATCCTATTGTCATATTTTAAATTCACATGATGAAAATACACAGGTTTTTTTAATGAATGTATTCCTTTTATTTTAGGTTTATTTCATATTTTATCTTTATGAAGGTCTTATTCCTGAAAGATTAGAAGTCAATTTATATAATAAGATTTTTATCTAATTTGTCTACTTAAATCTGAAAGGTATCTAAAATCAATACTGTCATTGAATATTTCATACTAATGTTATAAAAAGTACATTGAATGTTACATTAAAATATAAGGCAAGAATATCTATAAGAGATTTTCAAAATCTAAAGGGAAAAGGATCTTTGTGAAAAAGGACAGTTGAGAAATAATGTGTATTGAAGTGTTATATGCAAGCATCTTTTACTATTTATTGAATAAAATGTTATAAATCATTTAAAACATTGTTTTGGCATTTTAACTCTTGCTCAAAATGGGTAGGGAAGATTTTTGTGAGAACAAATTCTGTCTCTGCCTTTGTCACTGAGCATACATGCATGCACATTCCAACTCAGAAAACAATTCTAAATACTCATTTAAAATTGTAAATGAAAAGGGAAATCTTTGATCTCCAAAATGTAAAGTCATTTTCGTTAATTGATTGAAATATGGGGATGTGGGAAGTATATTAATTCTTTAGAGAATGGACAAGAAAAATAATTACATAAGTATGGACTACATTGAATTAAAAACAATTTCTTTGAAATTATAATTGATTTATGCAAAGTAATTATTTAACTCTTAGAGAACATTTTCCCACATCTCCAAGCCAGCTCAGTAATTAATGTCTCCTAAACTTTTAAACTGACTATATAGAATATATAAAGAAGAGCCATTCTGAGTGCAGATATATTGATTCCATCTCCTTTTACGCTCTAGTGACATTGTTTGGAGTAAGTTGAGACATCCTTGTTTCACTTCAGGAATGCATTTCATTATTGTTTTATTATTGTTCCACTCCTACCCTCCACCCCTGGTCTCCCTCTTAGTGGCCTCTCCTTGCTTATCCTCAAGCAACAAGGCATCACCTCTCTGCAGTTCCAGTCGCTAAAGGAAATCAGTGCAGGAAACATCTATATCACGGACAACAGCAACCTGTGTTACTATCATACCATTAACTGGACAACGCTCTTCAGCACGATCAACCAACGAATAGTGATCCGGGACAATAGGAAAGCTGAAAATTGTAGTAAGTACATCACCCGAGCACTTAAGATTTAGAAATGTGAAAACTTTTCTCCCATTCTCCGCTAGACCAAACAATTAAAAATACAGAAGTCATAATTGCTACCTTGTTACCCTTTTTTTTTTTTGAAGATTTATTTTACTTATTTGAAAGGCAGAGTTACGGCGAGAGAGGGAGAGACAAAGAGATCTTGCATCTGCTGGTTCACTCCCCAAATGGCTATAACTGCCAGACTGAAGCCAAAAGCTAAGAGCTTTCTTTCACGTGGGTGCATAAGAACCTGGGACATCTTCCTCTGCTTTCCCAGGTGCATTAGTGGGGAGCTCCCTGGATTGGAAGTGCAACAACCAGGATTCGAAGCATCACCAATATGTGATGCTGGCATTGCAGGTGGCGGGCTTTACCTGGGACACCACAATGCTAGTCCCTTAACACATCCTTTAAAAAGGAAGGTAGATATAACTACTAGCATCCTATAAAATAATCAGAAAATGTGCCTTTATAAAAATTTTCATGTTTGAAAAAATCTTGCCTAACCCTGGGGACTGTCCTTTTGCAGAATTAGATACAATAGGCCTAGATGGAACCTGAGCACATAAATGTTTAATAATCATCCAGGTAATTCCTTAAATTCAATCAGTTTATGGAACTCACCTTATTGAATTCTCTGCATTTTGAACACAGAATAATAGTTTTGCCATTTGGATGTGGTAGGAAAAATGCAGCTGCATTTTTTAGAGATATGTGAAAAATGTTCAAATAGTACTCAAAAGCTCTTCTTGTTTAAGAAGATTGTTTTGTGAATACATTTTACAGGAATATCGCTCTCCTTTTCTTCATCAGTTTTGCTACTTCTTGTTCTACTTCATCACTTCTTTTCCACACTGGAGCGAATGACATTTTTATAGAAATATGATTATTCCATTACTATTAAACATTGAAACTCCAATGGTTAATACTTAATTCTTCCATGTTTTTCTACTGAGTACTGTTTACTTTTTCTTTATCCTATAAGTGCTACCACCACTCATATAACTGTCTGCTTTATTTATGATAATTGCCAAATAAAAAGTCTCCAAATGCAGATAATCTGTTTGTAAATGCTTATCTTTCTTGTAGGTATGATGAGTCAGTTGTTTTTAGAAGACAGATTTCCTAAGGAAACTTTTGGTCTCATTATCAGAACAGCAATCCTAAAGGTACACACAAATGAGAGAGGAGAAAGAGAGAGAGAAAGTGACAGAGAGAGAGAATGTGTAAATAAATAGTAGAGGGTCTTTTAAAAAATTGCAAACTCATAAGAGGACAACATAAGTTAAGCTTACTGTAGTAAATAGGCAGTGAATTAATTTATTTACTAATAACCTACCTTGCTCCAGAAAGGACTCACAGCAGCACAGGCTATCAATTTTCATAGAATGTGACTTTTAATTTGTGAGGAAATCACTTATATTATAGGCGTTTTTGGACCATAAAATATTTTCCAGAGAAAGTTCTGTTGTAATGAGAATTTCCTGCTTTGAGCCAACTACAATTCTCACATATTCTTCTGTTCCAAGAAATATAAACACTAATTTAATGTGTCAAAGTACGCATGTTCCTATGGAATGAGAGTCATCTTTTTATTTGGCCTGGGTTACTTCTTTAGTTTTATACATTGCTGATTCCTAAGACGAAGTATGCTCTGCCCATATATCTGTTATGTGTTTGTGGATGCCCTGGAAAAGTATGTGATTCACTGCAGGGAAACAGAATCCTTTTCAATGCCGATTTATAAATGTTCTCCTAAGTCAGGGCTGTACTCTTCTCCATCTACTTCCTTCAAAAACAAAGTAACAAACAAAATCACACACTGTACCACTGCCTTTCAAAGATAAGAAGTTAACTGAAGGTTTTTAAATATCTAAGGAAAACATAAAAGAATCATAGAAAAATATTCCTCCTTGACACAATCAGTTAATAGATCCTGTAAACATCCATATTTCTTTTATCTCTTTGATACTTCACAAAAAAGCAACTGGGACAAAGAAAATACAGAAAGAAATCAAATATAAAAAATCAAGATGGGGAAAAGGTATATTTCAATAAATTATATATTTTAGTATCACTAAACTCTTCAAATTACCAAGAGAGTAAAAAAATTATAATAATAATAAACTGAAAACCCAACGTGTTCTTAACTCTGCATTAACCTTATGCCTCTTGGACTGAATTGAGCTCCTTTTCAGACCATAAACTTATTTTCTTGTTCTGCATGCTTGGAGTTTATTTTGCAGTTAGGGAATGAAATGAAGCAGTTAGAAGGAATATAGTTTTGTGATGCTATAGTATAAAATCGAGCATATCATTCCTCATTTTTAACATCTTAGAATAAATATACTTTGCATGAAATCCATTTATCAAAATTTGGACTTCAGTCTCATAGCACATTGAACCCATAAAAATCACAAATGCCTGCACTTTCAGAAATGTAATTACGCTGCAAACCTGACCTCAGAAATGCTGCCCTTGATGTTTACAGTGAGCCTACGATGATTACTCACTTATGATTAAAACATCCTTATCATGCATAGTACTATCTTTAAACAGGAAAGCTTAATATTTGGTTCATTTTTTTAAAAAGATTTATTTATTTGAAAGTCAGAGTTACACAGAGAGAGGAGAGGCAGTGAGAGACAGAGAGGTCTTCCATTCGATGGTTCACTCCACAGATGGCCGCAATGGCCAGAACTCCACCGATCCGAAGCCAGAAGCCAGGAGCTTCTTCTGGGTTTCCCACATGGGTGCAGGGGCCCAAGGAGTTTGGCCATCTTCTACTGCTTTCCCAGGCCATAGCAAAGCGCTAGATCAGAAATAGAGCAGCCGGGTCTCAAGCCAGCGCCCACATGGGATGCTGGCGTTTCAGGTCAGGGCGTTAACCCACTGTCACTGTGCCACAGCGCCGGCCCCAATATTTGGTTCATTTTAAATGTACTACTAACATCGCATTTTTAGATATTCTGTCTTTGCATACCATACAGAGACAGGATACACAGGAATGTACACAAATATTTGCTACAAACTCTTAAGCATACTTGTTCATGAGGTGCGCATGTGCACCTGTGGGTATGCGTGTGCATGTGCAATGCATCACAAAATATCCTATGATTTAAATCTGGGAGTTCATTTGTTAACTTAAAGAAATGGCAACTCTTCATTGAAGAGAGTGGTATTTGGAGTTCAACCTGATTTAAAACAGTAATGACAATAAAAGAAAAACTTCACGTCATCCTTAATGAGTGACAGAGGTTTGAGCAATCTTATTCTTTTAAGTCAAATATTTCAAAGCAGATTTTGCGGTTTGAAGAGATTGAGATTGTGAGAAATTTCAGGACATGAAAAGTTATATTTTCTGCCTTTTTCATCTATGTGGTTACAGCACTAACAAAATGACGATGCTGGTGGAAGAAAGGTATTTAGAATCTCTTAAAATAATTAAGCATAGATATTTAACACTGATGTATGAACAATGTAGAAATAAATATTATCCCAGCCTCTCAGAATCCTAGTTACATTTGAGCCTATACATGTTTTAAAGTACTTGGGCATATAAAATTAAATGCAGTATAAAAGAGAAATTAAATTCATTATTGATTTTTCAAAATTGAAATATCTTTATTTTTCCAATTATTGAAGTATATTTCTTATTGTTATATATCAAAATATATAAAGAAGAAAAGATCTTTTCACAAATATATATGTAATACTTGAGTACTTCAAAAAGGTCACAGAAAATTAAAAGGTGCATTTATTTTGGTAAAAAATTTTGAAATCCATGAAGTTTTTCATAGTATGCGTTTTCATTAACTTTTAGAAGAACCATTACATACATGTATTTCAAAATTTAAATTATGTTTTATCTCCATTTTCAATTAACTCTTTGGAGTACTCTTGTATATTGATAACTGAAGAAAATAATATATACATTTTCATATATAAATGGAGTTATACCATATGTATTTTTATACTGTTCAGGCATCTAGGCCATCTGTTTAGTATATTGTGAAATTCCCTGAGTCAGTTTTTAAAGCTCTTTTTGTCCTTTTAAGAGCTGTATTAAAGGTATTGATTGAATGTCGACCATATTGATGGTAATTTAAATTACTTACATTTTTCATATTATTATTACTACTCTAATGTGTGTTGTAGTTCATAAAACTTCACATACCCTGCATTTATTTCCTGAGTCTACAAACGCAGAAGTGGAATTCATGTGTAAGTGAACCTACATAAATGTTTCCTTTCACATATCATCTTTCAAAAATAGTACTGGATCAGTTTATTCTTGTCCCAAAAACTGTTTGATCAGGAATATTTTGTAAGACTTTATAGCACCAGATATTATCTAATATTCTAAATTTCAGTTATCTGAAGGCAAAAAACATCTTCTAAATTTACATGTACTTGACATTTACTTTTTTTCTATGATGATTAATTATTTACTATACTTTTATAAATTATTTGATTGATTATATCAGTTTTCAATTTGAAAGTTGATCTTTCCATGTGGATTTGGAAGAGTTCTTCAAAAATGAAATTCATATTTTGTTCCTTATATATGTTGTAATTTTCCTATATAACATATTATTTAGGAGTCCATTTGTCATATTTCAATTCTGTGTTGTGATAACAAAATACCTGAGACTGCATACTTTATAAAATAAACACGTTTATTTAGCTCACAATTTGTGGCACTAAATGTCCAACATCAGGCTGCCCCATCTGTTTAGCTTCTGTTGAGGGCCTTCTGGCTTCATCACAGTCTGGCAGATGGTATCTCATGCAAGAGTACCTGAGAGGGCGCTCACATGGCAAGAGAGGAAGCATGACACAGAAGTCAGGAGGCAGGTCACTCTTTTATAAAAACTTACTCTTGCAGGAACTAATTTGCTACACCCTCCAAGAGATCAGCATTAATATCTTCATGGGGCAGTTATGTCCCAATTACTTTCCTTAAAGTACCA